TAATCAATGTAATGAAACAAGTTATATGAATTGTTGAATGTGAAACTGATGATGTGCCCTGTAAACTTTCACTCAATCCACAATAAAAAACTTAAATTAAATATAGGAAGAAAAAAAAAAAAAACCAAACAGTAGTTTTGCTTCACTAGTAAAGGATGTCTGCCCGAACACTGTGCTCTTTTTAAAATCTGTTTCTATGGGATTAAATTGGCAACAGCAACTCCAAAGATTAGATAGAAACTTGTTGTTGTTAAGTGACATCAAGTCAGTTCTGACCCACAGCGACCCTGGTGAGCTTGAGCCGACCTTGGGCTTCAAACCTACTTTGCATTCCAGCACTCACACAACTCAGGGGATGGAGGCACCAGTCACATGACAGGGTCCGAGCAGGATCCTGCCACATCATCTCTACTGAGAGTGCAGCCCTTCCTTCTGCAGTTGTTAGTAAAAACAGGAGAGGTTACCCATCACGAGACACCATGGGACAAATCACAATCTTTCTCGTAAAAAAAAAAAACACAGCAGAGCACTAGAAAGTTTACATTATTTCGTAAAACTGACTGGTAATATACAATGATCTCAAAATAAAAAGTCGAGTTACAATTTTTTCATTGAAGAATGTAATCAATGTCATTGAATTATACATGTAGAAATTGTTGAATGGACATATGTTTTGTTGTGTCTGTGTTCAGCACAATAAAGAATCTTTTTTTATATATCCTCCTCTTGCTCCCACCCTATGGCTACTCCTCCTGTCTGTTTCTTTCCCAACCATTAGCCAGCCTGGAGATTTGATTTATTTGAGCCCTTTTACTAAAAGGTTGAGATGTTATAATGGAGACAAATTTAAAGGTACAAAGACAAGCAGCCTTGTCACAAGACAGCAGCACCCTTGTGCTATCTGAGATTCTAGAGTCTGCCAGCTTGGACTGCAAAGGGACAAGGACACAGGGAAGATCACAAATGCTGCACCCCGTAATCTGAACATCTGGGCCCTTCTGTGCCTTTAGTTTTAGTGTGGCAGGAAGTTCCAGATGGGCAGCAAGGGACTGAGTGACCTTCAGAGGGATAAGAGTGATAGCCATATACCAACAGGGAGAGAAGTCATTCTATATTTAACACCTGTACCATAAAAAAAAGACACTAAAAGAATCAACGTATTTAAATTCTGATGTCAATGATGAATACTGCAAGTACCATGAACTGCCAGAAGGAAAAACAAATCTGTGTTGGAAGCAGTACTGCCAGAATGTTCCTTAGAAGCCAGGATGGCAAGCCGTCATCTCTCATACTTTGGACATGCTGTCAGGAGGGGTGAGTCCTTGGAGAAGGACTTCATGCTTGGAAAAGTGGGAAGTCAGGAAAAACCACAAAGGCCCCCATTGAAGTGGGTTACCATCACAGCAGCAACAATGGTCTCAAACCTAACAATTTTGGGGAGGGCACAGGAACAGGCAGTGTCTCACTAGGAGTCAGAGCTGACTCAGTAGCACCTAACAGCAACAACAACAAACACATAGACCAAGGATCCCTGGTGACTCCGTGATGAAGTGCTCAGCTTCTAACCAGCAGGTCAGCGGTTCAAACCCACCAGCAGCTCTGCAGGAGAAAACCATGACAACATGCCCCCATAAATATCCCACCTAGGAAACCCTATGAAATAGTTGTACTTTGTGCTAAAGGTTGGAATCATTGTCCTCGTAATAATCCACTCTAGATTCCCTCAGCCACACACCCCCATTTCCTTGTCCTGTTCCTGTGGTCTGAGCCACAGAAGAAGCAGAGAAATCCCAGGAGTCCTGGACACTTACGTTAGTGTGGCAGGTGTCCCATCCAACCACCTCCAATCCCCTTCTCGGTTCTTGTCAGTCAGCCCCAACCAGTACACCTTCGAAGAATCTTGAGCATTGGCCACAAATACCTGCAAATACAAATTCCACTCAGTCTTCAGGACCCTCAGGGTGAGTAGCCCACCTCCACTCGGCTGTATGAATTTAGAGCTTTACGAATCGGGCTGCGAACATTAAGGTCAGCGGTTCGAAACTACCAGCCGCTCCGCGGGAGAAAGATGAGGCTTTCTACTCCCGTAAAGATTTACACCCTCGGAAACCCTGTGCAGGGTCGCTATGGGTCGGACCCGACTCGATGGCACTTAACAACAACAACAATGCTATCCCCTACAGTGTAGTGAATGATGGAATGTCTCTTGGAGCCATAGTCTTTGTAAACCCCCACCAAGCAACGTTTTCCTGATGAGTCTGGGTAAGATAAAGTGGGGGAAAGTATTAAGGGGCTTTATGATTCAGTTGTGGATGACTGTTAACAGGCTTAGTTGTAAAAACTTACAATTCTGACATAGGTATAAAATGAACATCTCAGAAGCAGGATGGGGTAGTTCACCACCATCTAAGAAAAAAAGGCCAGGAGTGGAGGGAATCCTTTGGACCATGAGATCTCTACACATTGAACCTCGTTGACCCAGGGGCAGAAAGCTGTGACATTGGAGAAATGTACCAGAGGAGCCATAGCAGCAGAACCAAGAGCCAGAGACAAGACAGAGCTTCCCAGCTCATGTAGCAAGGAAAACTGAGTGACTTTGGATAGGAGACATACCCGGAGAGCGGGGTCCTCCAAGCACTTAATTGGGAGAGCTAGGTTTGCTGAATGCAATCAATATTGACCTTTACTGGGGATTGGAATGCAAAAGTTGGCAGCAAAGAGGAAGGATCAGCTGTTGGAAGATATGATCTGGGTGACAGAGACGATGCTGGAGATTACGTGATAGAATTTTGCAAGACTAATGACTTCCTCGTTGAAGATACCTTTTTTAAACAACATAAAAATGACTATACATGGACCTCACCATTATAACACTAAGTAACATCCTAACTACAGCAACGGATGTTGTATAGACGTCTCCACTTCCATGGGGAAAACCCTGTTGCCTCCCAGCTAATGCATCTCATGGTGGCTTGTATGTTGCTAAGATGCTGAATGAGTTTCATCAGTTTCCAGACTAAAAAGAACACGGAAGCTGTTATTTGATCCCAGGTTTCTAATTCCTTCCCCAACCAGTCTAGGTTACCCTGTAGATCTACTTTCAGGAACTTTTGCATTGCAATGGTCTTGATGAGACTGGCAGACAGGATTAAATGGGAATTTGCTGGGGTGCGTGAAGGGTTGAGGGCTGCCAGAAGGGGCCGGTCTAAGGCCTTCGCTATATACTGAGCCGTCATTTATAAATTCAGACCAAATTCTTCATTTGTGCTGTATGGGGCTGGTTTCCTGTTGCTGCTGAGACAGATCCCTTCGCCTCAGCCTTTTAATGCTTTTATATCTGAAGATTTTCAAATTACCCACTCAAAACTCCTTTCAATCCAACTTGGATTTTCTGAGTCTAGGTCTTTGATTTTTTTCTTTCTTTCTTTCTTTTTTCTCCTCCCTTCTACTCAACAACATGAGTGTGGATCTAGTTTTACCCCAAAGCCTGCCTAAGGCTTATGATTCTAGAGACTATTCATCATTATCTACAATTTTAGGAGCTGAAGAAAATTACACATCCTTGCAAATGTCATCTACGGAAGCACTCTACTCAGAGACTGATCTGCTTTTCAGGAGAGTCCTGATTCTTCAGCGATCCTAAAGTAAAACTACCCACTTTGTTAGGGCAAAGCATAGGGAAGAAGGAAAGCAAAGGCCAGGGTAAGAAACACGTCAGAACTGTGTTCTCTCAGGCACAGATTTCAGAAACAGAAATACCTCAGCCTCCAGCAGATGCAAGAACTTTCTGAAGTCCTGAACCTCAGCTATAAACAAGTTAAGACCTGATTCCGAACCAGAGAATGAAACATCTAAGAGGTGGCAGAAAAACATTAAATGGCCAAATAGTAACACTGGTGTGGCTCAGGTCTCTGTGCCTACTGAATAATTCACTTGGCCCTCTATGATTTCTGTCACCAGGATGCCTTCCTTCTGCAAACATTCCAATGTGGACCAACCAAAGGTGGAACGTCCAGACTTGGAGTAACCAGGCCTGGAACAACCAAACCTGGGGCAACCAGGCCTGGAACAGCAGCCAAGCCTGAAATAACCAGGCCTGGAACAAACAAACCTGGGGCAACCAGGCCTGGAACAGCAGCCAAGCCTGAAATAACCAGGCCTGGAACAATCAGGTCTGAAGCAACCAGTTTCGGATCTGTGGAGAGGAATTCTGGCTGTCCCAGTACCAGCAAAATTCTGCCAGTGATCTGGAGGCCTCACAAATAATAGGTTCCTTCCTAAATGACTCCATGAACGTACAACCTGAAGAGGGCATGTAAATTCATGTCCATCTGGGCCGTGGTTGCATTACTTCTTTACTTGTAGAACTTCTTGTTTCAGAACTATATATCTCTGCCTTGATATCCTGGTAGCTCTGGTAGTGTAGTGGTTACGAATCAGGCTGTTAACCTTAAGGTCAGCAGTTCGAAACTACCAGCCACTCCATGGGAGAAAGATGAGGCTTTCTGCTCCCATGAAGATTTACAGTCTCGGAAACCCCATACAGGGTCACTATGGGTCAGAATCGACTCGACAGCACTTAACAACAACAAATTATGTAGATTTGTTGTTGTCATTATTAAGTGCAGTCAGTTCCGACTCATAGCAATTCTGTATAGGGTTTCTGAAGAGCAGCTGGTGAGCTTGAACCTCAGATCTTATGGTTCAAACTGAGCTTGCAGTCCACCAGCGCATTAACCCACAGCACCACACCAGGACTCCCGCTGTGTAGATTTAGAAGGAGACAATATGATCCAGGTTTCCATAATAGCCCCCTGAAAGATTAGCTTGACTGCTGTGCACAGCATGATAAAGATGATAAAGTCTGTCTCTGAGGATCGATAACTGCAGATGACACCTTGGATATGTTGAGGCTCTAGTCTCAAGAACAGGAACTCAAAGTACCAAGATGTGTGATGAAGGATTATTTGTATTTTATAGGATTTGGGAGGCTGTTTTTAGTGTGAAGGGTGAGGTTTATAAAGGCATTTCACTGATTCTCTTCTCCATCCTTCTCTGTTTAACTGTAGACCCCAACTTGCTCATTATTTGAATATTTGTAGAAAGATGTTTTGTTTTGTATTTTGCTATGTTATGGGAAGAATAATACCAGTATGGCTGGCTGCTTTATAAATATTAGTTTAAATAAGTAAAATACGACCCATTTTATCATTAAAAAAATAATTTAAAAATAAAAAGAACAAGGAAGAAAGAACTGGAGCTCTACTTTCAAAAGTCAGCCAGTTAACAACTTATGGACCACAGTGTCCAATCCACAATGGATCATGGGATGGCAGCTTTTGGTCCATTGTGTGGAGTTCCCAAGAGTTGAGGCCAACTGAAAAACATCTAAGAACAGGTGGTGCTTCCCTAGTACTTTTACACCCCCCACACACACCCATAATTTGCAACCAGGCAGTAAACAAGTTCAATGCCTCAGGAACAGAACGTGAAAGGAAAAGACAAAGAGGGACAAGAGGGTTTCCTGGCATTTATATTTCAAATGCCCAAACCTTTGGGAGAAAATAAAGGATTTATGTTCAGGACAAAAGACTGGGAATCAAACAGCCTGATTAGAAGCAACTCTTAATGTATGCTGATGGAAATCAGATGAGTGGAGCCTCCAGGGTGAGAGTAAGACAGGTCATCAACCGGAAAAGGGACATGAGAGAAATTTCTGGAGTGGTAAAATACTCTATATCTTGATTGTTGTTGTTGTTAAGTGCTGTCGAGTCCATTCCGACCCATAGCAACCCTGCGTAGTGCATTAACCCACAGTGCCACACCAGGACTTCGTATCTTGAGTAGGTTGCTGGTTATACAAATGTCAAAGTTCACTGAATGTACAGTTAGGGTCTGCGTGTTTTACACTATGCAAATCGTACACCACCTCACCCAATCTCAACACCAAATATTGGTCCCCTAGAACGTGGGCAGGAGCCGTATCAGTAGTAAGAAAGTTACGAAGATATGAGAGGGGCCCTGTACCTCGTCCCTGGTGAACCCCAAGTAATGGCAAAAACCACACATAGTTTTGAAATTCCAAAAACAGAAAAGACCATTGCCCTATTTCCTGGGTAAAGTCCCAGGCAGGTGTCAGAGGCCTTCTATGGAACCTTAGGGGGGTTTACAGGCTTTCACACACCAAAATATGGTAGAAGAAGCAAGAACCTCCCTTGTGCCCAAGAACAGCAGGGAACAGGTAAGGAGACTTCCAAACCCACAGGATCTTGCTAACAGGGGAGTGACACATCTCAGGGACAGCCTGGGTGGTCCAATGACACAGAACCAGACAACCAGGGGAAAAAACCTACCTTCCAGACACCAAAATGAGGGCATTTTAAGAAGAGGGACCTTGTCTGTCTTGGCCATTACTAGGTCCCCAGTGCTTATAATAGTACCTAGCACATAGTAGGTGCTCAGGTAATTTGATTGGGTTAATGAGCTATATAGTTCAAGCTGTGCCCTTTACACAGATTGTCTCCTTTGATCCTCCTTATGACCAGCTGACATAAGTACTATTATTATTCCCACTTTATAGAAGTGAAAACTGAGGCACAGAGAAGCGAAACAACTCACTATCACACAGTCAATGAATGTCCCAGTGGATACCAGCTTAGAGTAAAGATTTCAAAGACAGACGTGTACTCCCCTTCAACTTGACCCTACATGAGCTATCCCCAGTCAGAAGAAAAAGGGGGACCTCAACTGATTCAGATTAAATATCCACCATTCTCAAAAGATGAATTAACATGATTGTTCACAACCACAGAGTCAGTGGTTCAGACTCACTGGGTGCTCTTTGGAAACTCTGGTACCAAGTTGATGACATTTAACAACAACAATTTAAAGGAAAGTAAATTATATTTCTTGAACACCTGAGTTTAGGGAGTATGATTTATACCTGTCTCTGGTAGCGTAGTGGTTACGAATTGGGCTGCGAATCTCACAGTCAGCAGTTCGAAACTACCAGCTGTTCCATGGGAGAAAGATGAGGCTTTCTGCTCCCATAAAGATTTACAGCCTCAGAAACCCTGTACAGGGTCACAATGAGTCAGAACCGACTGCACAGCACATCACAACAACAACAACATTTATATTATTTAATTTCATCCTCCCCTAAACCCTGTGTTAGCTACCCATACAAGTTTTAGTGTAGTGAATTATTTAATATCTCATCTAGCCATAGTCCCACTAACTAACTTTTCCTATGAGTCTAGGTAAGAGAAAGTGGGGAAACATGCTGATGGATTAGAAGTGATTGTTGTTGTTGTTAACTTTCATCAAGTGACTATAGAGACCCTGTATAGGATTTCCAAGGAGCAGCTGGTGGGTTTGAACCACCACCCACCTTTTGGTTGGCAACCCAGCACTTATCCTACAGTGCCACAGAGTTCATTATGTTGGTTATTTTTACCATCCTGCTGGATATAAAATCTCAGAAGCAGAAGAGGGGATCTCACTACCATCAAGAAAGAAGAACCATTATTGACCCAGGCATGGAAAGCTGTGGCAGAGGAACAGTAAGAGCGGAACCAAGAACCAAAGCCGAAGACAGAACAGTGAACTTCAGGTCCATGGAACAAGGAAAGCTGAGCGCCATTGGACAGGAGGCTTGTTCCCAGAGTGGGATAGCTCCAGGCACTTGATTGGAGGAGCTAGGTTTGCTAACCCATGGAGCTAGAGCTGAGTACCTTCGACCTGAGGCTTATAACACAATAGATTGCCCTTTGGGCATTTATCAGCAATACTAATAATGTTTTGTAACATTGTCTGAGCAGGGAGTGGACAGGCCAAGCGTCCCAGGGCCTGAGAGAGACCTGCCTGCAGGCACAGAAGAGAAACTGTCCTTACCAAAAACCTGTATCCTGAGAATTTTCTGATCCTGCAGTATAACCTGTTAATTTCCCTAATAAACCCCATAACAGTAAGTATTGCCTCTGAGTTCTGTATGACCACTGCAATGAATTATCAAACCTAGATGACCTCTGCAATACATAAAACTATAGGTAGAAACCGGAACCACATCCAGATCTCCAGAGATGAGAAATCTCCACTTGAAAGGACGAGCAGACCAGCCTGGAG